ACTCAGCGTATCACGTCGTCGACAAGCCTCTGCTGTGTGCCCGTGACCCGCCTGGTGCTGCGTGATTTTGCATGGAACAGAGGACGATGATGAAGAGCTGTGTGCAGGGGGAGCCCGGGGCCTTGGTGAGATCCACAGGCCAAAGCCAGGCTGCTTAGTCTATAAGCTGCTCATGCTGCAGCTTCAGCGTGTACACCTTTCAACCCACAGCCTCCCCACCGTGCTCAGCCAGGCTAGTGCTGGGACACAGCAAACAGGGCACCGCACAGTAGCATCACCCAGCCGTGATGAGTGGGCCGCAATGTTGCTAAGAGCTCTGTGAAGAAGCGATTTTAATTCCAGCCAGTCTGTAGGTTGTGTGTCTGTGTGGCGGTTTAGCGCTGTTTTAAATTCTGCATTGCATGGTGTGGGCAACTGTGGTGAGTGGGCTCTGCACTGTAATCTTTTTGGAGGTTTTCCAGCACAGTCCAGTAAAATTCTCTTTGATGACAGGCCTGTTCCAGACCTGCGCTGCTCAGCAGGGAGACTGCAGGCCTAGGGAGCACATGAAATGTGGCCCGAGCAAAGGAGGAACTGCATTTGGAGTTGTATATAATTTCAAGTAACTGAAGTTTAAATTTGTTAAATACCCAGGTGCGGCCAGTGGCTTCCAGATTGGGCAACGTGGGTCCCAGCAAAGGCACCATCAGCCCCTGTGGTTCCCTAGGCCACCGGCCTCCATGGCCGCACCCATGGTCTCCCCTGCCGAGTTGTCTGTCCTTCCCTGTACCGCCCGGCCTGGCGTCCACTCCTAAAGGGAGGTTCCTGAGCCCGCAGAGCTCACTGAATGTGTGTCTTCAGTTCCCCGCTGCACCTCGAGGGCCCCTCTGTCACCGCATTCCCTGGGATGGTCACCCCTCGTCTGTCCCCTCCACTGCACCACGAGCCACTGAAGAGCATGTGCACGCTCAGCCCTGGGCACGGCGTCTGTGCATCTGGGAGCTCTGCACACGCTGCTGAACGAATGAGCACAGAAGCAGGTGGAGTTTGTTGAACCAACACTCCTGTGACACTCGTCGTGCTCCAGTGCCCTTCTAGGGGCTTTCCGCTGTCAGTCACGTTTGGATATATCGCAGTTGGCCACATGATTCACTTTGCAGCTGCGGGCTTTGACAATTTACTTGATCTCTCAAAGATGCTTTCCTTTTCACTCGTAGGATGTGAATGATACCAAAATCGCAGGTTGTTCTGACGATTGAAATGAGATAAACTACGAACAGTGCACGACATTCCTGTGAACTCACGGTAAATGTTAGGGGGTTCACTAGGGACACACCAGTGAACAAAACAAAACTACTGCTGGTGTGGAGTGTGCATCTAATCCGGAAAGGCAGTATATATATGTGTGTGTGTGTGTGTGTGTGTATATATGTGTGTGTATATATATGTATGTGTATATATAGTATATGTGTATATATGTATATGTGTGCGTATATGTATATGTGTATATATGTATGTATATATGTATATGTGTGTGTGTGTGTGTATGTGTGTGTGTGTGTGTGTGTATTTTTTTTTTGAGAGGGAGTTTCGCCCTTGTTGCCCAGGCTGGAGTGCGATGGCATGATCTTGGCTCACCGCAACCTCTGCCTTCCGGGTTCAAGCAATTCTCCTGCCTCAGCCTCCCAAGTAGCTGGGATTACAGGCATGCACCACCATGCCTAGCTAATCTTTGTATTTTTAGTAGAGACAGGGTTTCTCTATATCCGTCAGGCTGGTCTCAAACTCCCAACCTTGGGTGATCTGCCTGCCTAGGCCTCCCAAAGTGCTGGGATTGCAGGCGTGAGCCACCGCGTCTGGACGATAGTAAATACTGTGGAGAAGCAGTGGCATGTGTGCTCGTATTATGTGGGAACAAAGGCGGGCCGGGTAAGGCGTGTTGGGATGCCTGGGGGTGTGAGGGCTGACCTGTAAACAGGAGGTCAGGGCGTGTTGCTGAGGAGGTGATTGTCAGGCAAAAGCTTGGAGGGAGGCAAGGAGCAGACACACAGCTGTGTGGGGAAGAGCATTCCTGGCAGAGGGAACCACCTTTGCAAAGTCACAGAGGCAGGACAGAAGGGAAAGGGCCCTAGGTGAGGGAGGTGCTTGGGGCACAGGTGAGGAGAGCAGCTTTTATTCTGAGTGAATGGGGAATGACTTTTGTTTTTGAAAGCTTGTTCTGGGACTGGGCTAAGGACAGCTTGTAGACAGGCAGGGGCACATATGTTGGGGATATTTCTTTACCCAGGAGAGAGACGGTGCCAGTGTCTCTCCTCTCTCTCCCTCTCTGCCTCTGTGAATGTGTAATATGCATAATGTGCATGACTTTTTTTTTTTTTTTTTGAGATGGAGTCTTGCTTTGTCACCCATGCTGGAGTGCAGTGGTGCAATCTCAGCTCGCTGCAACCTCCGCCTCCTGGGTTCAAGTGATTCTCCTGCCTCAGCCTCGCAAGTAGCTGGGATTACAGGCACCCGCCACCACGCCTGGTTGATTTTTTAATTTTAGTAGAGACAGGGTTTTGCCATTTTGGCCAGGGTGGTCTTGAACTCTTGACCTCAGGTGATCTGCCCACCTTGGTCTCCCAAAGTGTTGGGATTATAGGCATGAGTCACCACTCCTGGCCATGTGTATGACTTTGATTGTGAAAGATTTCAAACATACCCGTGGTGGGTAAAAATACCAGATGGTCCCTGAATGTTCCCACTGTCCAGTGGTAGCAATGGTCACCAGCACACGGCCCATTTCGCTTCACCTTTGCCCTCATATACTTCCTTCCTTCTCAGACAGTTTAGAAGATAATTCCGGACAGGCACAGTGGCTTACACCTGTAATCCCAGCACTTTGGGAGGCCAAGGAGGGTGGATCACCTAAGGTCAGGAGTTTGAGACGAACTTGGCCACCTGGTGAAACCTCATCTTTACTAAAAATACAAAAATTATGGCCAGGCGCGGTGGCTCACACCTGTAATCCCAGCACTTTGGGAGGCCGAGGCGGGTGGATCACGAGGTCAGGAAATGGAGACCATCCTGGCTAACATGGTGAAACCTAGTCTCTACTAAAAATACAAAAAAATTAGCCAGGCATGGTGGTGAGCACCTGTAATCTCAGCTACTTGGGAGTCTGAGGCAGGAGAATTGCTTGAACCCAGAAGGCGGAGGTTGCAGTGAGCTGAGATCATGCTGCTGCTCTCCAGCCTGGATGACAGAGCAAGACACCATCTCAAAAAACCACCCTCAAAACAAAAATTAGCCAGGCATGGTGGTGGGCACCTGTAATCCCAGCTACGTGGGAGACTGAGGCAAGAGAATTGCTTGAACCCGAGAGGTGAAGGTTGCATTGAGCTGAGATTACACCACTGCACTCCAGCCTGGGCGACAGAGGGAGACTCCATCTCAAAAATAAAATAAATAAATAAATAAATAAATAAATAAATAAATAAACAAATAAATAAAAAAGATAATTCCACGTTCTGGGTCCAACGGGCAGGTGGACAGGATGCTGCACAGACGGTGGGTGTGAGGAAGGGATCTGAAGGTGCCGCCAAGGCTTTTGCTGGAGCGACCAGGAGGTTGGAGCTGCTCCTCCCAGAGGTGGGAGAGTGCGATGGGGCAGGCTGAGGGAGAGCTAGAGCTGAGGCTTGAACCTGTTGGCTTTGAGATTTGATTCAACATCCAAGGGGAGATGTTTTTGCAATGGGAGAGGCTGAGGGAGAGCCAGAGCTGAGGCTTGAACCTGTCGGCTTTGAGATTTGATTCAACATCCAAGGGGAGATGTCTTGAGTTGGCAGATGAAAATTCATGTCGGGAAGGCGCTATGCGTTTGGGGGTAATTGAAGTGTGGATGATCTTAGGAGCTATGACTCTGGTTGACATCACCAGGGGATGAGGGCACAGGAGGAGGAGACTCCAGTGAGCCCAGGGGCTTCAGCACCAGGACTTGGGGAAGAACCAGCAAATCAGGATGTCAGGAGCACCTTCCCACCTGCAAGTGTGACCAAATCACCCTGGAGGGGCTGTTCCCATTCATGCTCCTCACCACGGACTATGGAAGTGCCTGTTTGCTTTAAAAAAGGTCCGTTTCATAGGCAAAATGGTATTTTAGAATTAATTATATTCCTGTAATTTCAAGGAAGAGCTGACTTCTCACGTCCGTGGACTGTTTGTATTCTTTCTTTTGTGAACGCATGTAATTCTTAGTGAGGTGTTTTTGTGTAGTTTTTGTCTTTCACCATGAGGGGTAGAAAAAAGGGCCAGGAACAAAGACCACCTCTTGGCTTAGGGGCGGGGAGGCCCTGGGGTCAGGCCAGACTCTCCCCGCCTCCCTCATGGTCTCTTTCCATTTCTCCAAATCTCTGCTTTCTCAACCTCAACATGAGGGTGCTGGGGAGTTGGGCTAAGTCCCATGTTAGGATCGACCATGGCCACGTGGCCCTGAATCTCCCTTGCTGGACTCGTCTCTGTGGCTCAGTCTTTGCTGGCTCCAGAGCGTGGCCTGGCCTGCGCGTCGGTGGACGTCTGTTCCCACGTGGGGGTGCTCTTGTGGGCGGGTGGGCTTTGCTGTTTCCCACGTCTAGCCAGGGCCTGCCACCCAGGGTCTCAATACGTGTATTTTGAATGGCTTCAAAGACTATTAAAAGCAAGTTATTCTTTTCAAAATTAAATGATCTCTCCCTTTTAAACAATAAAAGAAAACTTTGCATTTTGTGGCGATAGGGTTTGTATAGTTAGTGATATTTTATGTTTAAATGCTTTAGAAGGAAGCCATGCTCTAATTCCTTCCCCGTTTCAGTGTATTTATGCAAAGTCCCTTTTTAGCTCAACCTCATCGAGCAGAGGGCACCTGTCAGGTCCAGTTGACAGTATGTCCAGTTCTGTCACTGCCTGACTTTTGAACGTCTCAAACCTTAGCGTCAGGAGCCTAGACAGGGCCTCACTCGCTCCCACAGCCCCCGAGGTTGACCGAGCTGCCCTCTCCTTTCCAGGAAGCATGGTTGATGCTCCGAAGGAGGGAAGACTGACCCGGTTTCTGGACTTCACTCAGCTGACGGACATGGCATCTGAGTCCGTAGGAGGAAAAGTAAGTGGGTCTCTCATGGCCAGAACAAGGATTTAGGGCATCTGTGCTAAGGGCACAACTGAACAGTGCAGAGAACCTCATGCAAGAATCAACAAGAATCAGTCTGAAGGGTTGGCCTGCCCAAGGAAACCCGTTAGCGAGAAAGACTTCCAAAGAATGTATCTTAAATTGGTGACAATTCTCAGCAAGGACAACACTGCCTTAGGTTTTGTGTGTTTCACTAGAGGACAGACTGTGGTCCTCTGCTCTGGATAGGCTGACAGTCCTCTAGCTCTAGTTAGATTGGAGGTCCTCTAGATTGAATTAGATCGGATGTCCTCTGGCTCGAGTTAGATTGGAGGTCCTCTGGCTCGAGTTAGATCGGAGGTCCTCTGGCTCGAGTTAGATCGGAGGTCCTCTGGTTCGAGATTCGTCCCGGAGATCCTCTGGATTGAGTTAGATCGGAGGAGTCCTCTGGATTGAGTAGATCGGTGGTCCTCTGGATTGAGTTAGATCGGGTGGTCCTCTGGATTGGGTTAGTCGAGGTCTTCTGGCTCGAGTTAGATCGGAGGTCCTCTGGCTCGAGTTAGATCGGAGAGTCCTCTTCTGGCTCGAGTTAGATCGGAGGTCCTCTGGCTCGAGTTAGATCGGAGGTCCTCTGGATTGAGTTAGATCAGTGGTCCTCTGGATTGAGTTAGATTGGAGGTCCTCTGGCTTGAGTTAGATTGGAGGTCCTCTGGATTGAGTTAGATCGGTGGTCCTCTGGATTGAGTTAGATCGGAGGTCCTCTGGCTCGAGTTAGACTGGAGGTCCTCTGGATTGAGTTAGATCGGAGGTCCTCTGGATTGAGTTAGATCGGAGGTCCTCTGGATTGAGTTAGATCGTTGGTCCTCTGGCTCTAGTTAGATCGGTGGTCCTCTGGCTCTAGTTAGATCGGTGGTTCTCTGGCTCCAGTTAGATCGGTGGTCCTCTGGCTCCAGTTAGATCAGATGTCCCCTGGCTCTAGTTAGATTGGTGGTCCTCTAGCTCCAGTTAGATCGGTGATTCTCTGGCTCCAGTTAGATTGGTGGTCCTCTAGTTAGATTGATGGTCCTCTGGCTCCAGTTAGATCAGATGTCCCCTGGCTCTAGTTAGATCAGTGGTCCTCTGGCTCTAGTTAGATCGGTGGTCCTCTGGCTCCAGTTAGATCGGTGGTTCTCTGGCTCCAGTTAGATCAGTGGTCCTCTGGCTCTAGTTAGATTGATGGTCCTCTGGCTCCAGTTAGATCAGATGTCCCCTGGCTCTAGTTAGATCAGTGGTCCTCTGGCTCTAGTTAGATCAGAGGTGCTCTGGGTCTAGTTAAATTGGAGGTCCTCTAGCTCTAGTGTGTAATGAGGGTCACCTGGAGAACTCATTAAGCATAATGTGCAGAGGTGCTGGGGTGCAGGCTGCGCTCAGAAGCAGTGTGTCTGGTACAGAAAGGGAAGCCCCTGTGCCTTCCCCCAGGAAGCTTACACTCTAGCAGGGAGACAGATGTAAGTCCAGACCAGCCCTGTGACTGGCACAAGGCCAGGGTGCTGGGGGAGCATGTGGACTCCAGCCATGGGCAGCCTGGGGGGATTGGGGTGGGAGGGGTGGGGAAGGGCCACTTGAGTGCTACTGGAGGTGACTCGCTGGAGAGCAGCTGACGGGCAGGGATGAGGTGCAGGGTGGTTCGGGCAGAGGTGTCTGTGAGGAGAGCAAGGGAGCCCACGTGCTCCAGGTGGCTCAGTGTTTCAAGAACACGCCGGGCGTTTGTGAGGAGAGTTGGGAGCATGAGTCTGGAGAGGTAGGAGAGGCCCCATGTGCCCTGCGAAGGCTTCTGAGAGATCTGGAGCAGGGGGACCCTGATATGTCCACCTACCTGCCATTTGAACCCTGGCACAGGTCAACCCCAGCACATCAGGTCTCCCCTCCGCTCTGCCACCCAAACAGCCGGCAGCTCTGAAACAGCTCGTCCTTCCTGCCTTTTGAACTCCTGGGCTGGAGTCAGAGCCTGGGGCAGGGTGCCCTCCAGGCTGCAGCGGCCATGGAGTCCTGGGCTGGGTGGGTGACCGTCACAGCCTGTTTTGCTCAGGAAAATCTGGTTTACCTTGTTTTCTGGGTGTACAATTAGTATCACCAACCTCACTCTCAAAATGATCCTGCCTTGGTGGACAAATGACCAGGACAGCCCACCTGCAGGGTGACCTATGGTGGCCCTTGTGGGAGAACACAGAGGCACCAACTGCATATGTGACCCAGAGCTTTTTCGGTCATTGCTCTCTTTGTAAAAGTACCACAAAACCTCTGGTTCATGAAAAAAAAAAGTTAGTTTATTTGCTTCCTGAGTGTGAGAAGTTAGTGATCTTACCTCCAGGTGGTAAAGGAGAATCAGAAAAAAGGGTGGGAGGAGAAGATGAAGGAGGAGGCAGGCAATGAAATGGAAGCATTTAAAGGCATCGTGGCTTAACTGCAGATTCTGTCACTTCCCCTAGGTGATTTCATGTTTTCTTTTTACTTCATCTCATAATGTTTCACTAGGGAATGAAACAAAATGGTTTCAGATTTATGGTTACTTTATCTTTACTTCTTTCTTTCTTTGTCTAGATTTTATTTGCAACAGATGACTTTTTTGCTCCCGCAGAAAACCTCATAAAGGTATTGTAAATTGACATTCTGCAACGTAAAGGGTTGATGTAGAGAAATTCATGCAGCCGTGTTGATTAAAATCTATCTGTATATTTGGGATGGAGTCACGTGATGGGCACCGGCAAATTAGCATATTAGAACATTAGGAAGACATGCAAATCAGCATGAACTCACGCCAAAACATAGCAGAGACAGGGACTGCAAAGAATTCAGGACTGTATTGTTTCATGGGGAAAATTCTGAGGTCCTCAAATACTGCTCTTCTGGCTAAGGTGAATTTCATCATCTGTGTTGGGAAGAAAACAGATCTATGTCTTGAATTTTCTGGGAAATGTTTTACCTGCCTAATTATAAAAGTACAGGACAGCTTATTAAAAAAAAATAGAAAAAATGCTGACGAACATAGGGAAGAAATGGCAGCTGTGTTGTAGTCCTGCTCCTCTGTCATACCCAGTGTGGAGATGCGAGTTCTTCTGCGCGGAGAGACAAACACAGGTGCACATCGAGTTAGTGCCCACGTACAGCATGCATGACTGTGGCTGGGGCCTCCAGGCCTCCACCGTGGGCAGCAGCCATCTGGTTACCCTGGTGAAGTGGTTGCTCTCTGTCTGGGCAGGACCTGGCTGGGTCCAGAGCAAGCTGATGTATGGCCCTGAGAAGGCACCTTACAGTGTTAACTTACCTATTCCCCAGGAGAAAGTGAAAATAAAACAAGAAAGGAAAACGTGAATCAAACTTTTTCTAGATCACGCAGTTACTAAATGCCAAAGCTCTTACCATTTTACCAGAGGTCCGATCTTTGAAACACTGAAATGCATGCCTGCCTTGACCTAGTTGTTTCACAGATTTACATCGTTTGCACAAGTGGGCAAAAAATAGGTAGAAAACATTCATTCTGGTATTGTTTGGAGAGGAGATAACCAATCTAAATGTTCACTGATTGACAGGGAACTCAAGAAATTATAGCTTTTCCAGATATGGGCTATTATGTGGCTACTAGAATGAGTTCAGCCTGGCACCGTGGCTCATACCTGTAATCCCAGCACTTTGGGAGGCCAAGGCAGGAGGATCACTTGAGCCTAGGAGTTTAGGACCAGCCTGGGCAACAAAGCAAGACCCCATTTCTGAAAAAAAAAAATTATCCAGGCATGGCTGTGTGTACCTGTAGTCCCCACTACTCAGAAGGCTGAGCTGGGAGGATTGCTTGAGCCCAAGAGGTCGAGGCTGCAGTGAGCTGTCATCATGCCACTGAACTCCAGCCTGGGTGACAGAGTAAGACCCTGTCTCAAAAAAAATAAATAAATAAATAAATAAATAAAAAGCAGGCTCTCCATTCATTGGCAACAAGAGAGATCCATGTATATTTTATGAGCGTAAAACAGAGTTTGACGGTGCATACATCAAACAGTGAGATGTGATTATCTGTGAAAACAGAGGTGGGCTTGGAAATGGCGTGGGAGAGAGAGGGTGGGGCACTATTTCTTATATTTTATACTTGAGCATATATATATGTGCACACATAGAAACACAACACATACATGTGTGTATATATAGTCACACCATAAAATCACATGAGAGAGATATATATATTTCTCCTTTTTGGAAAAAGTAACATTACAGATAAATGTGAAGTTCACCTTTCATATTCAACTTGAGTGCCAGTCCACCCCCTCCCTTTCCAGCATTAACACTGTTGTAGGATGGGAGAATGCGTTAGTCTGTCGGGGCTGCTAACACAAAATACCGCAGATGCTACCGTGGTAGCTTAAACACAGTGATTCCTTGAAGTTCTGGGGGCTGGAAGCCTGAGACCGAGCCTGAGACAGCGGCAGCTCCAGCATCTGGTGAGGGCCCTCTTGGGATGGCCACCTGCCGGTGATACCCTCGGGTGACAGAAAAGAGAGGGGAAGCAGGTCATCTCCCACCTCCTCCCGACGGGCAATCATCCCGTCATGGGGTCTGCACCCTTGTGACCTCATCACCTCCCAAAGTCCTCATCTCCGAATAGCATCTCTTTGGGGATTAGGCTTCAACATATGAATTTTGGTGGGGGACAAACATTCAGTCCGTTGCAGAGAATTCTTCTAATGTATTTTATACACTTAAATATACATATGTTCATAAATATATATTTTACATTTTAAAATTTATATACATACTTTCACAAAGCACTTAACATTCTGCACTTTGTTTGGGGGGGAGTGGGGCAGGATCTGGCTCTGATCAGGCTGTCAGGCTGGGGTGCAGTGGTGCGGTCATGGCTCACTGCAGCCTCGACTTCCTGGGCGCAAGTGGTCCTCCTGCCTCACTGGGACTTCAGGCATGTGCCACCATGCCCAGCTAAGTTTTAAATGTTATGTAGAGATGAGATCTCTAGCTCCCAGGCTCAAGCAATCCTCCTGCCTTGGCCTCCCAAATGACTGGGATTACAGGCGTGAGCCACCGTGCCCGGCCCTAAACTTGCTTTTCTCACTGAGTGTTTGTGAATTCCATCTGTGCTGATGCGTGTACACCTAGGCCACCCTCTTAGCTGCTGAACAATAACTGCCATGTCATCGTGGCCCAATTTATGGCCCCCTTTCCCTGTTGATACACATTTAAGTTGATGACATTTTGCAGGTATTGAAGACATCCTCATACAAGTGTGTGTGGACATGCGTGGGTTTATACCTGGGACTGGTGCTTGGTTTTTCTCTTTTGTTAATAACACATCTGTCATCACGTGGCATGAGCCACTTTTACAACAGTACGTTTTCCTGCCACTGGTTCAGTAGCCTGTGTCTCCAACTTCCCTCACACCTTCAGTGTCAGTCCAAACACAACAGCAGCAGTAGCAGCAACACACCCGAAACAATCAACCTACCACCAAAACTAAACACCAGCAAGTTTGGGGCCTTGGAGGTCTGGGGTTTAAGTGGGAGGTGTACCTTCTTTTCTCCTTCTGGGTTCAGAGCAGAATTTTGCACTTCTTGATGAGTAATGGAAAGGCTGCAGTGTGCACTATTTTATTTTATTTTTTTTCTGAGACTGAGTCTCACTCCCTTGCCCAGACTGGAGTGCCTTGATGCAGTCTCAGCTCACTGCAACCTCCGCCTCCCTGGGTTCAAGCAATTCTCCTGCCTCAGCCTCCCGAGTAGCTGAGATTACAGGCGTGTGCCACCACGCCCACCTAATTTTTTTTTTTTTCTTTTATTTAGTAGAGATGGAGTTTCACCATGTTGGCCGGGCTGATCTCGAACTCCCGACCTCGTGATCCACCTGCCTCGGCCTCCCAAAGTGCTGGGATTACAGGCATGAGTCACCGTGCCCGGCCAGTGTGTGCTATCTTTAAGATGTGATTTGATTGGCCGGGTGAAACATGATGAAACTCCATCTCTACTAAAATACAAATATTAGCCGGGCACTTGTTGTCCCGCTACTTGGGAGGCTGAGGCAGGGGAATTGCTTGAACCCAGGAAGTGGACGTACCATGTGCCAGGCACACTTAAGGCTGACAACAGCCGGAGGAGGTAGATAGCACGATGGCTATTTGCCTTTGACAGAGGAGGAGCACTGAGGCACAGGAGGGTGGGTACCGTTGGCCATGGGTCCCCTGCCTGGGAGGCTGGGCGAGTTGGCACACCAGGGAGTCTGGCAGGATCCCTGGTTAGTGTCTTATGCAGCAGCTCCCATCAGAGCATTCCTCCACCCTGGGCCCTGCTACCTCTACTCCCTTCCTCTGCTCCTGCCTGGGGAGCTTCCCTAAACAGTAACGTAAGATCCTCTTTGCACAACTTGACGGAAACAGGGAAAGTATCCCCACGCTGGGCCGCCCACCAAGCACAACAATTTCTGAGCATCCACACTATTCCAGGGTCTTTCATGTCGGCTGTGTCAACTTCAGGACACTCCTGCAAAGATGCGTTTGTTCTCCTCGTTCTGGAAGATGAAGAAGTGCGCTCAGCTGTCTAAGGAGACTTTGTGGGGCGTCAGAGACCATGCATTCCTCAGGGGTTGCAGAGTGTGCTGTGTGGGTTCAGCTGGACCCTGAGTGTCCAGCCTGCTCTTCCTATGACTTTGGATGGATTCCTTATTGAAGAGTCTACCTGGCCTGCGTGGAAATCTGACCAGCCTCTCTCACTTTAATACCCATGTCGGTTGCTGTTGGCCCACAGAGTGCCTGGCGATGTGGTGGTTCCTGCTGCTATCAGTGGTCAATTCTGTGTGCTGAGGCCCACAAAGAAGTAACATTTCTTTTTCTGAAGATGATAGAAGTGGAGGCATCCCTCAATCTGGAAGGGGCTAACTGGGCATGAAGGTGGTGGCAGAGGCCCCCCTAGACCCGTTTGCACCATTCCTCTGGCCCTGTGGGACAGAAGTGGACTTGTTGGAAGCCAGGAGATCACAGGAATGCTAATGATTACCTTGTTGTGTGTTTTTGCCCTAGAGTGACAGCCCGTGCTTTAAAGAGCGTGAATATACTGAGTTTGGGAAATGGATGGATGGCTGGGAGACCAGGAGGAAAAGGATTCCAGGTAAGAACAATGGCTAGCTCATCGCACTGCATCTGACACTGCAAAATTAAAAATGGGGGCTGTTGCAAAGCCAGGGTCCGCTTTGGGTCAGCTTTAACATGGGGCCCTGGAATGCTCTGTAATCTTGGATGTCCTTATCTGAACATCAGGCTCTAAGTCAGGAAGGGGCGGCCTGAGCCCGGATCACTGATGTCCCACCAGGCACAAAGGGTGAGAAGCACTTTGTTGGGAAAATGAAAACCCTGGTGAGGTCTGCGGATGGAAAAAAGAGTGGTTCTCACTGAGCACTGTGGCAGACGTCAGGTAGCGTGCATCTTCTGGGTCCTTACTACAGTCTTCTGGAGTAGGTCTCCTTATCTCCGTTTTACCGCCATGGAAACAGATTCCTGGACTCAGCCCAGGGCACACTGCTAGCAAGATAAGCTGCGGACCGGGCCAGGGTCTGTTCTCAACACTGTACCCGCTGTCTTTTACGATTTTATGCAATTTTTGTTCATTGTTACTACTCAGTCTCAATCAAAATATACCTCTTGAAGTTGAAGAAAAGCAAACAAATCCAGGCATTAGGTTGATAATTGGATTTTTACTTGCTACTCTCTCAAGTATTACAGAAATATTTGCTATTTCTAGTTTTCTGTCTTTCTACAGTACTTGAGGCAGTATTACTTTCTAACAAATCTGGACATTTTAAGGTGGGTTTATATCTGGCAGCAAATAACCAAGAACTCCCTAGTGGCAGACTTGACGTCAAGACTCTGAAGGCTTTGGTAGACGCAGGCAGGTGTCTGACCCGTGGGGGGATTGGAGGCTGAAGGGTGCTATGGCAATTCCTGAACTTGAGATGACAATGAACACAGTGTCTGCAGGAGAACCAGCTCTGCTTACCACCTGCTGAGCTTGGCGAGGTGCTTTCTACATCACACTACCCAGTCTAAGCTTTATGGAAGCTTATGGCATCCCTAATTTACAGTTGAGAAAATGAGATTCTCTACTGTAAGAGGTAAGTAATTTGCCAAGGACAGTCATAGGAAGTGATCCATTTGGAACCAGAGTCAGGTCTTCCTGGATCCCAGCCTATGGATGTTCTGGTCTGGCTAGAACTGAGGATTTCTGTTGGGAAATGGTGGACACATGCAGCCAGGTTATGAGAGATCCTGCAGTCATATTAGCCAAGAACCGCCCCAAACAGGTTTTCCTGTGATGGGCGGAAGTGGCCCCCACTGTGTGTCAGGTGCGTGTGGGCTGCGCTGCCTTGCATGCAGCATTTGCTGCGTCGGCTCTAACGAGCTTGCTCTTGTCCTCTGTGTTGCTCAGGTCACGACTGGTGTGTCCTCAGGTTGGGGATCCAAGGAGTCATCCGGGCCTTCGACGTGGACGTTTCTTATTTCACGGGAGATTATGCTCCTCGAATGTCAATTCAAGCAGCAAACTTGGAAGAAGGTGCCTTAGGAACCACTGTCCCCAAAATGAGAATTATGAGGTCACATGGCTCCTCTGGCCAGCCACACCCCCACAATTGCTCACTTTCCGTACGACCCAGACAGCTTCAGGAACTTGACTATGGCTACTTTACTGTAACGGAGCTGCAGGATTAGGACTCCTAATAGAGCGCTCTGTGGTTTTTGATTTGTGGCTTAACAGTGTTAACAGCCGGATATAGATTTTATCATTCCCACGATCCTTCAGCTTCACGCAGAGGCAGGCCATCATCCCTGGAACGTGGGTCAGCAGGTTGCCGGGTGGATGGGAGGGAGTGGGTTGTGCCTCAGATGACCCGGGGGATGTGGAGCCAGGCTGGGACAGCTGTGGGGTGAGCAGCACCAGCCGTGCTTTGGGCTGTCCCGGTGTGTGTGATGGGGCAGCTGCTATGGCATTTTTGGCAAGGGTTTCTATCTGCATCTGGGAACGCTGGGCCTATGAATCCCACAGGCTCTATAAATGAGACATATTCTGTGAAAGGGCCATGTACGTAGAGCAGACCCCAGGTGCCGAAGAAACCAAGAAACCAAAGAAAGAGGCCGACAAGTCCAATTTGTTGGTAACGAGTGTTTTATTGGGGGAACTTACAAACGGAAGCGTGGCCTCGGGCGGCAGCAAGATGGTAAATCTCTGCACTGTTACTCCCGAGACCCAGGGCTCACAGGCTGTAGGGAAAGGGCCTGTGTGCTCCAGTGGGACAACTGAAGGCAGCCTCCGGAACAGGGAAGAGGGCTGTGTGTGTCACAGCCTCTAATTTGTGCGATAACATCAAGGTTGACATGTTCTGGACTAAGGACAGTAAATCAAGTTGGAATCAGGACGTGTTCACAGGATTGAGGCTAATCAGACATCAACATGGCAGATTCGCATCCAAGATGGAGCCACTTTGTCTCCACAGACCTGTATTTTTATTCCTTTGATATCATCTGATGTTGACTTTAGCATTAATTTTTAAAAAATATGTACAATTATGTGTATGTTTATACATGTACTTAGGGAAGATAAGTCAGTGTGGGTTGGCAAGTTTACAGTGAACGTGCTATGTGCACAGTACTGCATGAGGCTCTGTGGACATGAACGGGCCCTGCACCCCGAAGATGGCTGGGGCACCTGAATAGGAAATGATGCTATGAGAGATGCTACTCTAAAAGCGGAAATGACTAATGACAAATGAGTAAAATTGTTTCGGCAAGCCCCTCAATTGCCTGTGAGTGCTTCTATTTCTGAATTGCCACATAATTAATCCTAAGGATGTCACTGGGAGAGGTGGTGTTCCTGGAATTGACCTTGTCACAGTCCAACTTTGAAAACTCTAATGATGTGATAAACTTGTTGAAGTTTGAGCTAACTTGGAGATGACACTTACTATTTGACAAGCAAATGCAGTATCAAACATCTTGTACTATTTTTTGAAATGACTGTTAATATATTAAGTATTGAGGAACTTCAACAAGCATGTCCATTACTTTGATCATTTGATAACTTGGAAATACCTTTAGTGTTATTTGCAAAGTGAGAATTACCATACAAACCACTGAGAGAGTAGATTCCCTTTGATTTTGAACCCTCATCTTAATCCCAAATGGTCATTCCGACTACAGAAAAACTACCGGAAATCCCAGAAAGAGGAATCAGGACAGGAGCCGCAGCCACTCCCGAGGAGTTTGAAGCCATTGCTGAGGTACATCTCCCCCAGATGAATTGGGTCTTGTCACCAATTATTAGGACAGTAGGGGAACTGCTCTGCACACCTGGCTGTGCAAGGCGATTCTTTGGGACACCCAACCCTGGTGCTCCCAACATCATTTGCTGACCCACTGTGGCCTTACAAACGTCTCAGTGGTTCATTCAGCCTGGGAGGAGTGAGTATCATGGCCCATGAGGGACATGGAGCCCTGCTTCTCAAAGGGTTCCACCAGCACCCACCTGCAAATGGCTGCTGGCCCCGATGAGCACACGTGTGGAAACTGATAGTAAGCCTTTAAACACTTTTTATACCAACTTGATGAAGTAACTTTTGTGTGTGGAGAATTTATTAAAAGAAACAGTTGGGGGAAAAAAAAACAGGGCTTGTGTTTTGGTACATTCTTGTTTTTTTTTACATTTATTTAGTAATTAGTTTGTATTGTTTTTTACAGAAATGTTGATCCATAACAGACAGGAAAGTAAATAGCAGCAACAGTAAATAGGGCCGTTAGTTTGAGAAGTGCTAACCTAGAGAAAATGGTTGCAAGGTTCAGGCCAACAGATTTCCCCAGATGTCATGGTGCACGGCAATAACCTTGGTTTTTATTTGAATGTTCACGTCACCACTCCTCTGCGTGAAGACATTTGGAGGGGTCTGAGATCTTGTCCTTCATTTGCAAGCCTCTGCCACCATCACCCACTGGCTATTTTGATCAGTGTGAAAACAAAACAGGCCTTTATTCTGTTTTTTATTAAACATGGGGCTTGATATGTACTGTTTATATTAAAGTGTTTCATTAGGTATCCATCATTAATTTTTATTCCAAAGTATCTCCACACCTTAAGTCCCACAGAGGCAATAGGATGACAGAATGTATTGTTTTCAAGAGCAATTGCTGACATTTCTATATTTATTGCTAGCTAAAATCTGATGACTGGAGTTACTTGGTTCCTATGACAGAGCTTAAGCCAGGAAACCCTGCTTCCGGCCACAACTATTTTCTTGTCAATTCCCAGCAGAGATGGACTCATATCAGACTCAACATTTTCCCAGGTAATCATGACATGAACTTATCTCCAGTTCCATGGCTTCTTTACTTTATGTTGATATGTTTATAAAATATGAAATTACTTGGTAATTGATCTCTCCAGCATTTCAGGATTATAATTTCCCCTTTTTAATGCTCCAGAAAATTCTTGTTTTAATCCACAAATCAATAGGTAGTTATTGAAAAATTATCAAGTAAATTAGGATGTGGTAGAACTAAGTTATATTAGATTAGATAGATCCTAACTAGATTTCACAAGTATGTTATATTAGCAGCTGAAGTGGTATGTACAAATGACTCATTTTATTTTTTAATAGCTTTACTGTGATATAATTAACATGCAATTCACCCATTTGAAGTGTACAATCAGTGCTGTATAGCATATGCACAGACACGTGCAATCATCACCATACCTTTAGAACATTTTTATCTCCTCAAAAAGAAACCCCATATCCTTTAGCTATCATCCCTCATCTTCCCTATCCCGAAGCAACCACTAATTTACTTTCTGTCTTGATAGTTTTGACTATTTTGGACATTTCATATAAATAGGAATTATATAATACTGGTCTTTTGTGTCTGACTTCTTCCACTTAGTATAATGTTTTCAAGATTCATCCATGTTGTAAAATGTATTAACACTTCATTTCTTTTTGTGTAAGCCTAATATTCCATTGTATGGATAGACAGGTTGAGCATCTCAAATCTGAAGGCCCAAAATTTGAAATGTTCCAAAATCCAAAACTTTTTGAGTGCTGGCATGATGCTCAAAGGAAATGCTCACTGGAGTATTTCAAATTTTGGATTTGGAACACTCTACCAGTAAGTATAATGCAAATATTTTAAAAAACTGAAATCCAAACACTTCTGGTCTCAAGCATTTCAGATAAGGGATATTCAACCACTACCGCATTTTGTTTACCCATTCATTAGTTGACAGACAGTTTTTTCCATCTCTTGGCTATTTTGAAAAATGTTGCTGTAAACATTTGTGTACAAGATTTTGTGTGGACATATGCTTTCTTTTGTTGAGTGTATGCCTAAGATTGGACTTTCTGGGTCATATGATAACTCTGTGTTTAACTGAAGAATTACTAGGCTTTTCCAAAAGTGCTGAATATTTTACATTCTTTTTTTTTTTTTTTTGAGACGGAGTCTCGCTCTGTAGCCCAGGCTGGAGGGCAGTGGTGCCATCTCGGTTCACTGCAAGCTCCGCCTCCCAGGTTCATGCTTCCCGGGTTCACGCCATTCTCCTGCCTCAGCCTCCCGAGTAGGTGGGACTACAGGCGCCGCCACCGCACCCGGCTAATTTTTTGCATTTTTAGTAGAGATGGGGATTCACCGTGTTAGCCAGGATGGTCTCGATCTCCTGACCTCGTGATCGCCCACCTTGGCCTCCCAAAGTGCTGGGATTACAGGCGTGAGCCACCGCGCCCGGCCGTATTTTACATTCTTACCAGCCACGTAAAGGAGTGCTGATTTCTCCCTATCTTTCCCAACACTCTCTTACTTTTTGTTTTATAGTCGTCCTAGCGGATGTGAAGTGGTGTCTCACTGTGGTTTTGATTTGCATTTCCCTGATGACTAATGAGGATGAGCATCTTTTCATATGCTTCCTGGCCATTCATGTATTTTATTTGGAAACATTTCTCTTCAGATCTCTATTCACTTGTCTTAAACAAATTTCAACAGGTTTTTGGGGGAACAGTTGGTGTTTGGTTACATGGGTAAGTTCTTTAGTGGTGATTTCTGAGATTTTGGTGCACCCATCACCAGAGCAGTGTACACTGTAACCAATGTGTAGTATTTTATCCCTCACCCCCACCCTTCCCCACATTGTATCATGCTTATGTCTTTGCATCCTAATAGCTTAGCTCCCACTTGTAACTGAGAATATATGATGTTTGGTTTTCCGTTCCTGAACTATTTCATTTAGAATAATGGTCTCCAACTCCATCCAGGTTGCTGTGAATGCCATTATTTCATTCCTTTTTATGGCTGCGTAGTATTCCATGGTGTATGTATATATACCACATTTTCTTTTTAAAAATATTTTCAATTATGGGTACATAGTAGGTATATATATATTTATGGGGTACATAATACATAAAACATAAACGTTTTAATACAGGCATGCAATGCATAATATTCACATCATGGAGAATGGAGTATCCATCCCCAATCCATTGTGTATATATACCACTTTTAAAATCTATTCCTCCATTAATGGGCACTTAGTTTGATTTCATATTTTGGCTGTGACATTGTAAACAGTGTCACAGTAAACTTGGAAGTACAGATATCTCTTCAATATATTGGTTTACTTTCTTTTGGATATATACACAGTAGTGAGATTGCTGGATGAATCTATTGTTGTTCTATTTTTAGTTTTCTTCAGGAGTTTTCATAGTTTTCCATAGTGAGTGTACTAATTTACATTCTTGCCAATAATGTACATGGGCTTTACTTTCTCCACATCTTCACTAGCATCCACTATTCCCCCTGTCTTTTAAAATAAAAGCTGTATTATTCTGCTTTCACGTTGCTATAAAGACACTACCTGAGACTGGGTAACTTACAAACAAAAGAGGTTTAACTGACTCACAGTTCTATATGACTGGGGAGGCCTCAGGAAACTTACAATCATGGCAGAAAGAGAAGGGGAAGCAAGGCATGTCTTACATGGCAGCAGGATTGAGAGAGAGAGAGAGAGAGAGAGAAAGAGAGAGAGAAAGGGGAAGTGCCACTTTTAAACATCAGATCTCATGAGAACTCCCTATCACAAGAACAGCATGGGGAAAACACCCATCATCCAATCACCTCTCACCAGGTCCTTCCCTTGACATGTGGGGATTACAATTAGAGATGAGGTTTGAGTGGGGATACAGAGCCAGACCATATCAAAAGCCATTTCAACTGAGGTGGGATGACATTTCATTGTGGTTTTGAGTTGCATTTTTCTGATGATTAGAGATGTTGAACATTTAAAAAATATACCTGTTGTCCATTTGTATATCTTCTTTTGAGAAATATCTATTCAGATCTTTTGCCTATTTATAAATTATATATTTTTTTGCTACTGAGTTGTTAGCTATTGAGTTGTCCTTATACTTTCTATTAAACCCTTCTTATGTGGATGGTTTGCAAATATATATTTTTCCCATTCTATGGGTTGTCACTTCACTTTGTTATTTCCTTTGCTGTACAGCAGTCTTTTAGCTTGGCATAATCCCATTTGTCTGTTTTTCCTGTTGTTGCCTTTGAGGTCTTACATACAGATATTTGCCAAGACCAGTGTCCTAGAGCATTTTTCAAATGTTTTCTTCTAGAATTTCCTTTTACTTTCTTTCTTTTTTTTTTTTTTTTTTTTGAGACAGAGTCTCACTCTGTCACCCAGGCTGGAGTGCAGTGGTGTGATCTCAGCTCACTAGCAAGCTCCACCTCCTGGGTTCACCCGCCATTCTCCTGCCTCAGCCTGCCGAGTAGCTGGAACTACAGGTGCCCACCATTATGCCTGGCTAATTTTTTATATTTTTAGTAGAGACGGGGTTTCACCATGTTAGCCAGGATGGTCTCGATCTCCTGACCTCGTGATCTGCCCGCCTCGTCCTCCCAAAGTGCTGGGATTACAGGTGTGAACCACTGCGCCCAGCCTCTTCTAGAATTTTCATAGTCTCAGGTCTTAGATTTAAGTTTTTAATTCATTTTGACTTTATTTTGCATATGGTGAGAGATAGGGGACTAGTTTCATTCTTCTGCATGCAGTTATCTAGTTTCCCCAGCACCATTTACTGAAGAGACTGTTTCCTACTGCATGTTCTTGGTGCCTTTGTTGAAAATGAGTTGGCTGTAAATGTGTGGATTTATATCTGGGTTCTCTATTGTATGTCTGTTTTTATGCCATTACTATGCTGATTTGGTTATATAGCTTCATAGTACATTTTGAAGTCAGTCAGTGTGATGCCTTCAGCTTTGTTCTTTTTGCTTTGGTTATTCAGGGTCTTTCATTTAAATTTTACTTTTTAAAAAAATATTTCTGAGAAGAATGTCATTGGTATTTTAATAGGGATTGAATTGAATCTGTAAATTTCTTTGGATAGTATTGTCATTTTAACAATATTAATTCTTTCAATCTAGGAGCATGGAACATCTTTCCATTTCTTCTGTGTCCTCTTCAATTTATTTCATCATTTTTTTATAGTTTTCCTTGTATAGCTCTTTCACTTCTTAGGATAAATTGATTCCTCTGTACTTTATAGTTTTTGTAGCTATTGTATATGCAATTGCCTTCTTGTTTTATTTTATAGATTGTTCACTGTTGGTGTGTATAAATGCTACTGATTTTTGTATGTTGAACTTGTATCCTGAAAATCTACTGAATTAGTTTATCAGCTGTAACAGTTTTTGGGTGGAGTCTTTAAGGTTTTTCTAAGATCATGTTTTCTGTGAAGAAGGCTAACTTGATTTATTTCTTTTCAATTTGGATGCCATTTATTTCTCTTGCATAATTGCTCCAGCCAGGACTTCCAATATTATGTTATTAAAAGTGGTGAAAGTGGGCCTCCTTGTCTTGTTCCAGATCTCAGAGGAAAGGCTTTTATTTTTTATCCATTCAGTATGATGTTACCTGTGGGTTTGTCATATGTGGCTTTTGTTATTTTGAGGTACTTTTTTTTCTATACCCAATTTATTGAGTTTTTAATTTTTTATCATGAAGTGATGTTGAATTTTATCAAATGCTTTCCAGCATTTATTGAAATGATCATGTGGTTTTTGTTTTTGGTTCAGTTAGTGATGTATCATGTTTATTGATTAATGTATGTTGAGCCATCCTTGCCTTCCTCGAATGAATTCCACTTGCTCATGGTGAATGATCTGTTTACTGTGTTGTTAAATTCAGTTTGCTGGTATTTTGTTGAGTACTTTTGCATCTATGTCCATCAGTTATATTAACCTGTAGTTTTCTTTTTTTGTTGTTGTCTTTGTCTGGCTTTGGTATCAGGGT